CCCCCCCCCCCCCTTCCTCAGAGCAGAGGCCCAGCGGCTGCTGCAGCACTTGGCTGGGTGGCACTTGGTTGGGAGACACACCAGTAAAGGAAGCAATCCGCGCAGCTCGGCGGCGCCGCAAGGGTTAACACCGAAGCCGGGAGCAGGTCCATAAGCCACGTGCCTCCGACCTCCTCCGCCAATCAGCGCATTCCACCCCCCCGCGGGCAGGACCGCAATGGTTTGGTCCAAACAGGCGGCCACACCCCGGGCCCCCCGCTGGTGACGAGTCCAGCCGGAAACAGAGTTCCACTCTCGCGCCCGGAGACGTTACAGCCTCGTAGCGGTTTCCCAGTAACGGCAACAACAGGGCAACGGCGTCGGCGATCCCCCTGCCTCGCACCGGGGGAGGGGGAAGGGCTGACCCGCTCCGAGAGTTCCGGCGGGGAGGCGGGCTGCTCTGAAGCCGGCGAGCAGAGCTAGGCAGCCTGTTCCCATAGCAACCGCACACGCCACGCCGGCCCCTCCCCCCTACGCTTGTCCCAGCTCTGCGGCCGCACCTACTGGACGACTGTGCGCGTGGTCCGGGCCTGTCCCGTCGCGTCTCTCCGCTCCGCTCCTCGCTTCGCCGGCCCGGGCCCCGGCACACCACCGCCTCCGAGTTGCTGGGCGCTCCGGCTGCCCGGCGTTCCCACAGGTGCCAGGCGCGGGGCGCGGCTAGCGCATGCGTAGAGCGACCCGGTCCGGCGCGCGAAGAGACTGAGACGCGCGTTCCTGGGGGAGGAACCCCCTCCTTTGGGGTCCCGGGGGCTGCTGGGAGGGCCTCGCGCCTGCGCACTGAGCCCTTGTAGCGGGCCGGAGCTGTGCATACGTGGGTCCGGGTGTAGTGCGGAGGTGTGGGCCGCCTTTCTTCCCCAGCCGCGGAGTTATAGGAGGTTGCGCCCACTGGGCACGGGCTTTTCTTAATAAATCAGACTCGGAGAAAGTGAGGGCTGGAAGGGACTTCAGGAGGACAACTGGTACCACCGTGCTAGAGGCAGTATCATCCCCAACTAGATCATCCTAGCTAGGGCTTTGTCAAGCTGGGTCTTAAAAACTTCCAAGGATGGAGACTCCACCACCTCTCTGAGGAGCCTAGTCCAGTGGTTCACCTCCCTACTAGTGAGAGACTTTTTCCAAATACTCAACCTAAACCTCACTTGCTGCAATTTGAGACCACTGCTCTTTGTTCTGCCATCTGCTGTCACTGAGAACAGTAGCTCTGTCCTCTTTGGATCCCGGCTTCAGTAGTGAAGCCTGTTATTGAAAAGCCCTCAGTCTTCCCTTTTCCAGGCTCAGTAAGCTCAGTTTCCTCAGCCTCTCTAAAGGAGTCATGTCCCCCTGCCCCCAAACCAGCTTTGTTGCCCTCTGCTGGACTCTCCAATTTGCCCACATCCTTTCTGCAGGGGGAGGCCAGAGCTGGCTGCAGTTCTTCTGATGTGGCTTCATGGCACTGTCTCACTTTTTTTGTTTGCTCACAGTGGATTCAACGTCGTTTCACGTTCCACAGATTTAGCATGGTCTGAGGCATAACGTAGGACTTCACAATCCAAACGTTTTATATATTTGAATATATAAAAACTAATATTAAAATATTTGGCTTGTTAGAAATCCTGCCTTTTAGTCTGCTGTAAAATGGTGACACATTGTTTTTATTAAATTAACTTTTTGCTCATTTTTGTATTCAACTGCAATAAGATGGCAACTTGAATTTAATTAAACACACAAAACCAGGACTTCAAATTTACTAAACAGAACTTGAATGTTTTGAATACGGAAACTTTATTTAATCAAAACATGGTGCCCATTTACAACTAACTTATTAAACAGTAGTGTTAACCTTGCACCTCTTTATTGCACTGTTTACATTTGGCACATGTTCCTACCTAACAGTGCTAACTTTGTGCAGCACCCTTGAAAGAATCTCAAGGCATCCCCAGGTGCTACCACACACTGGTTGAGAATTGCTGCTCTGAGGTGCAGCCATGGACAGATCTTTGATTTTGAAAAGGGGGGTCAGACAGTGAGGTGCATCATCATATAACACATTGCAGATGTTTCTCCAGTTAAAAATAAACTAAGGAGGAAACTTTACTAACATGCTAGTGGCCTACCGCTGGATTATTCATCTTAAAATGGAAGCAAAAAAATAATAACTTCATTGGAATGAGTTAAAAACAGTCTGTAGGGTTGAGGAAATAGGAGTTTCATTACGAGGAGCAGCTAACAGACCGCAGAACTGCAAAACAAAGGCTAGCTTAATTGGTGGAACATCAAGACCATTAAAAAGAGAGGGTCATTAACATCTGTGAAATGAAGAGGTTAGAAGGGATAGGGTAGATTATGAGCCATAAAGTCAATTGAATTCTCTCAGCATTGCCTGACTAGAAATGCTGCTGCCAGTGTCAGTACTTGGGCACCTGCAGAGTCAGGACAGGGCCCTGACATGCTGGGATTTAAACTTTGGGTGGAGCAGGAATCAAAGCGGGGTACAAGTCCACCACTGTGTGCCAAAGCACCATGGCTGAGAAATGATGGTCTATGAGGTATAGCTCTGCCCTGACTTGCCTTTCTGCCTTACTTCAGTCAACAATTTCTCTCTGCTTATGAACCACTTCAGTAAGAGAAAGGAACAAGTATCAAAAGCATCGTACCCTAATCTTCCTCACCATGCAGTGACAGTCAGGAATGATCTAGCAAATGCCCTTTAGTGCCAGGTGCAGCTGGAAGGAATTCTGTGCTTCCCCCTTTATGTACAACGTGAGGAGAAAATACATTGGTCCACAGTATTAAAAACTGCCCATACTTCTAACAGCATAATCAGACCCCTATTCAAGGTGGCCAGTGTGTCACTTGTGACTCTAGGGACACTCTCTGTGCTTAGTTCATATCTGAATACAATCTGAAATTTAAGCTATTGCTCTAACTGGTGCTCAGAAGCTGGCCTGTGCTTCACAAACAATGTAATGAATAAGACTTACTCTGGCAGGGTTTGTTCATCACTTTCTTTAATAAAGAATTGAGAATATTATCCTTTTATAACTACTTGGATAAAGTCCTTCAGAAAGCACTTGCCAACTGTATTAAGCATAAATCCACTTTTGGCTTAAACCTATTTTTGGTATCTGCCCATTAAAATACATATACTATCAGGCTTTTCAGAAGCTCTCTTGGAAAACCAATCCTTCTCAATATGTAAATTAACACTTTCTGAATCTTCTAATCATGACCATGACCAAGTCCCTTTCTTGCAGGAAGAAAATACCTGACAGGCATATGAAAGCAGTAATAAGATCTCTGTGTCTAACCTTACCAAGTTTTACATAGATACCATTATCTCTTCTGGTTTCTAATTTACTTCTCTAACTTATGCAATCTCATATCCAGTTGTCTTTTCTTTAGCAGCCAGGCACTACAAACTTTAGATGGAAAGAAAGCCTCATTAGTATTGTACCCAAGTTTCTTGGTTCCAGTCTCACTTTTAGCCTCTATTTTTAAAGCAATAACTGAAAAACTGCTATTTTCAGCTGCTTTACAGTCATCTCATTCTTCTCTGTTACTTTCCACAAAACTATTCCATTATCATTGTATTAGAAACATAGACTCAGAGGACTGGAAGGCACTTGTGGAGGTCATCCACTCCAGCCCCCTGTTCAAGGCAGCAGCATCCCTGTCTAAACCATCTTATACAAATATTTATCAAACCTGCTCCCAAATTCCAAAGATGTAACTAGGAATTTTGGTGTCCTGGGGGGCAGGGGACTAGTGAATATCAGAAAGCGTGAATGGGTGAGTGCGGGGGACACATCTTCTTCAGTAGGGGTTGCTGCAATGGTGTGAGCTGTTGCTGCTGTAGTGCAAGTTCCCTGAATGCAGCCTGGGTGGTGGCATAGACTCCCTGGGGGCTGCCATTCTGGCACCCCCTCTAAATTAGTGCCTGGGGTTGGTGCCCTGCTCACCCAACCCTAGTTGCACTACTGTTAACATCTAATCTAAATGAGAGAATAATCTCTTGTCACCATCCTCATAATAATCACCCTTCATGTATTTGAAGTGTTAAGAAATCTACCTCTTGATTTTCTCTTCTCCAAACTAAATAACCACAGTTCTTACAACCTTTCCTTGTATTTTTCCTGCACATCCGGTCATTGTTGTTATTGTCCACTGAGCCATTTCTAATTTGTCTACATCTTTCTTGAAGTATGGTGCCTAAAACTGGACGTAGTACTCCAGATAAAGCTTCACCTGAGCTGAATAAAGCGGAAGAATCATTTCCCTTGATGTGCAGATAACACTTGTGTTAATATAACCCAGTATTAGTATAGAGTTCCTAGGCAAATCTTTGGATGTGCTCTCTAGTTCTGAGGTAAAGTAATATTTAAACTCCTTCCTAATATTATCATTTTTTAAAAAAAAAGCCACTAAGCATTCCTTCTTGGCTTCTTGTGTAATCTTCATGTGCATGCCATTTCTTCTCTCCCTATTGTCTAAATTACCTTATTCAAGAGTTATTTTTTTTATTCAGCTTGCTTGAGTTGGAAATTACACTAGACCTTCCGTTTGCAGTTTCTGTCTGCTATGTCTCAACTACTGTAACGCTCACTAACATCCCCTCTTCTTTTTTCACTAAGTTGGTATTGAAAGAACTATCCCCACCCCTTTGAACTTTTTTTCATTAACCTTGTATTTATCTAGCCATGTTGCCTTAGAATAGGAGTATCATCAAAATTCATGAACTATGACTGGGGCAGTTTAAAGTTTCACAAGAGGTTCTAAAGTAAATAACAAGATTTTGCAAGGAAATGTTATAAGTAATTCCTCCAGAAAAAGTAATGAACCAGTTCCCCAACAAAATGTACCATGTTCTTTGAAATACTTTCCTTTTTAAGTTCAAAATGTAGGTCCTAACCACTGTTGATAGAGGGGTATTAAACTCAGTGTCCAGATTAACTAAATCTACCTAATTGTATGAAATTTAACTGGAAATTAAACAGCCAAGAAGGATCTGGAGGATATGGTGGATCACAAATTCAGTATGTGGCAGCAATGGGATGCTGTTACAAAAAAGCAAATGCAATTTTGGGCTGCATTAACAAGCATTCTAAGCAAGACCTGGAAGGTGCTAGTATTGTGAGACTGCTCAGTGCTGATTAGACCTCAGCTAAAATATTGTGTCCAGGTTGTGGAAGAAATCAAACTTCGCGTTGTGGTTGAATCAGAACTGACAGAGCCAGCTTTTCTTTATTTAGGGCTATACTGTGATCACAGAGAGGATTTCATACAGCAAGGGGAATCACCCACTTGTCTATTTCAAAGGAATCCTCCTCCTCTCTAAGTTTTCAAGCATTTTTATACTTAAGACAGATAAAGAGAGAAAAAAAATACAACCTTGGAGAAACTAAAACAAGTTTACTTACCTGGACATCTGTCCACAGGGTAATAAGACATGCAGGATTTATCTCAAAACATGTAACTGAAATAAGCAGTATCAGCACTTCTGGTCTCTGTCTGTTTTTCTAGTCAAGTAGGCCAGAAGCCTGACTAAATTTACTCCTACATTCCCTAATTTTTTTTTTCAACAAGTTAGATATTTATAGCCATTAGCCTTTCAACTTCTAGTTTTTCTT